CCCTGCAACTCTTCTCCGCTGTCATACCTGGGAAACCTCAACGCCCAAAATAATAGGCAACCGTGCGTAAATGAGCGCCTTTGGCAAAGTAGTTGCGAAATCATTCTACTTTTGTTATGAGGAGGTCAAAAATGTCACTGTGCCCATTATTAGGCCGAAGGCATAATTATCATGGTTTATACTAGACTTTGTTGATTCTGAACCAGGTTTATATGACTACCCAGGGTTTTCTTTGTTAGCTTTTCTCGAATGGGGTGTAGATGTGTGTTCAGAATATAGAATATGTATACAGCTTATGGGTTGTTAAGGCATTTATGGCCTATAAGGTACAAGTGTAAGCATCCATTCCCAAGCTGCTGAGGAGTCGACGTGCCATCCTCCCCCAGAGGCTTTATGTATCACTAAGGATACATCCCTGTATATATATATATATATGTGTATGTAGATAAATATATATATATATACATACATATATGTATAGACGACATATATATATATATACATACATCGTAAATACATTCTCGTATTTGTAAAACGAGCTAGCCTTGAACCCTAAAAATAAAGCCTTCCTGGGCAGTATCCAGAGATGTCCCTGTATACACCCCAAACCCCAAACCCTAGACACCCTATAGACCATAAACCGTTACTCTGAAGCCGCACAGGATGTCGCTGCCTTCTGCAGGCTCTTCGCCGCATCGACAAACCCAATCACCCTAAGCCCCTGAATCCTAAAACTTATAAAGCTTGTTGCACCCCTAAACCCACAGGCTTCTTTGGTCGCTGTTGTAAGGTATATAAAAATGTAGGGCCGATATATAGATATATATATGGTTTAGGGATTCAGGGTTTAGGTTGAGGGTTCATAATTGCCAACCTGGCAACCCCAATCCTCGAAACCCTCTATCTTGGAACCAAGATAGTTCGGAATAGATCGTTGGAGAAATAGACAGACATTTAGGTGGCTTCGCTGCCAGGTGAGCTGAAATATTTATACTTCGGTAACCTTGTGGGCTATATCGGCTGTAGACTTACAGAATACATATATATATATGTTAAGTACATTAATATAGGAACACACGCTGTGCGGGCTTTTGCCCCAATGGTTCGCTCGAGCTCAGCATCGCCTTGGAGGACCGGACCACTTTTCACTTCTAAGCTTCTGTAGCGCAGCTTGCAGGTTTAAGTGTGTTCGATCTTATTGGGGCAGGACCTGGCTCCGATGTGGTGGGTGCTGCGCGATGATCTTATGAATCGATGGTGTGCGACCCGACAGCACCAAGGTCAGTTCTATTCGGTGATTGTTATGGAAAGCAGTGTAGACTATTGGGCCAGCCAAGGCACCTGGCTATGCTGAAGCTACTTGCTTTGGAAGTGCCCTGCCATGTCATTCTTTGCTCTAGCGATGCCGAAGCTGTGCACGGCAGGTTTCCTCATATTGTTGTCGGCAGCGCTGTACTTTTGAGCTCGAGGGCCTTACATTTTCAGGCATTCAGGGCTGATTATATATAGTGGGTCTGGAACGCCATGGCGGGGAGCCGATTGGCTGCTCAATTGGAGTGCATCCCCATTATTCGTCGCCGCTTTCGCAAAGGGCTACCATGGATTCGGGAGCCGGTTGACTGCTACGGGGAAAAAAGCCTTCAGACAACGAAAGCTGTGGAGTTGAACTACAGCACCCTCAAAGTGGTCTTTTCGTGGATGAAGACCCCGAAGGTTTCCATCAAAGAATTGGAGCCACAGGCCTGCTGAAGAGAGAATCCTTTCGTTAAAAAATAATTAAAACCTTGAAAGCTAATCCACAACCCCTCAAAACACCCTGTCAGGTCAGGACGCTTTTCAAAAAGATGAACTTCGTCCCGGATGACCGGAAGCAGGCCTGGATCGATGCTTGGAGCATTAAATGCTTGGTGAGCTTCTCTTTGAAGCGAGCCCGGGATGCAGAGCGGCGAAATCAGATCCCTAGGGCTCCTTTGCTGGGATTATGGAGGTATATGCCTGTGTATATGTGTGTGTCTGTGTGTTTTTCTGCTGTCAAGTTTTCATTTAAGGATTCATCTAAACTAAGGAGGAATCGGTGCGGAGGCTTTTCAATTTGATCAAGCTTCGCCGAGACTTCTGGAGTGAGCAAGCAAGACTTGAGGAGGAAGGGGGCGATGATAATGATGAGCCTGAGCCAGAAGGTGGTGATGAGGGCCCCGAATTTGTGAGTCTTGATAGCTTTGATGAAGAGGAGCTTGATGTAAATAATGAGGCGCAGGCGGCAAAGGTGTCAAAGGATGGTGATGAGGATCCTGAGGACGGAGCTGAGGTCCATCATGAAGAAGAGAATGCCACAGGGCAGGACCATGAGGAAGGGGAGGAGGAAGGAGAGAATGAAGAAGGTGATGATCCTATAGTTGAATGCCCGCTTTCCGGTGGTTCTTCAAGTATGCATATGGAGTCGAAGCGGCAGCAGCTGTTGGCGATGCAAGCAGAGATTGATGCTTTGCAAAAGAAGTTGGGTGAGTGACCTGGTTTCGTATTAATGCATGCATGCACACCCCTTCCAAATCAGGTCATATCCTTGCGAAATCTAAGGCCTGCCGAATTACCAAAGTTGCGACGCGGCTACTTGCCCAAACATTAATGAGCAGACTTGTGCACTGCTACCTCCAACATTTAAGGTTGCCCAATCTTGATCGAAGATAGCCCCAAACCACGGCCACGACCTCCTGCTACTCCGCTGGCCTCGATTCTTCGCCGCTCCGGAAGCAAGCGCCCACATCCTGACAATGAGGCCATGCTTATGGACGCATCGATTAATGATTTGGGTCTATATTTTTATTGAACGATTTAGAGATGCCTTTGACTTCAGGAGACACAGATTAATCCCACTCCGAGCCCACGTCCTAGGACTGGGAAAGCATTGGATCGCTACCTGCCCGATGTCACTTAGAGATGCAATAGTGCATGGCTGCCATGTATTTGTGCATGCCTGTATGTGTGTGTGTGTGTAAGAGTAATGCATGCAGTGAACAAATCAAGGTGACAGGGCCTTTGGTGACCTCGCAGGATCAGAACGCTTTGAAGGCTTTGCGGCGACCCGCAAAGCGAGGCCCTCGCAGTGCAAAGTCCAAAAGCAAAGCAAAGGCCAAGGCGAAAGCGAAGGCCACAGATGCGAAGGGCGAAGCTGTTCCGAAGGCAAAAGCCAAGGCAACAGCCAAGGGAAAAGCGAAGGCAGCGGCGAAGGGCAAAGCTGTGCCGAAGGCAGCCACAGCAAAGGCCAAGGCCAAAGCTGTGCCGAACGAGCAGACGGAGGCGAGTGTTGCGGCTCCCCGCGCAGGGGGCCGTGGGCGAGGGAGCAAGGCAGCTCCTGCGGCTGCAGCGGTGCCCAAGGCCACAGCCAGGGGCCGGGGGGGCCGGGGCAGAGGCAGAGGACGAGGAGGTGGCCCCGATGATGCGGCCGGAGTCGCCAAGGATCGCCAGCTTGGTTGCCCACGCTGCCGGTGGGGAAAAGGTGGATGCGCCACGTGCCGAGACCCGACGTACGTGTACAGAGGTGTAAGGGGAAGGCCCCGTGCAACAGCTGCGTGATGGCTTCGTGACTCTTTCGATCGAGCTTCATGGTGCATGGCTGCGTAGTGTAGCCTGTCGAAGTGCAGTGTGGGGTCCGCAGGCAGGGATAACCTTGTCAGCGATGCTGGGTACTGCATATTCGGTCCCTCAGAGCCTGAGTATTAGATCAAATCGTGGCTTTTCAAACATGTTCGGACTTTGCGGGGCCACATATATGCTTCAATTACTTGTGCAAACAATGCCAGCCAAATTCGTGGCATAGCCGCTGCAATTTCAGTGGTTGGGGAACATGCTGTGAAGAGAGCAAAAGCCAATGCCCTTGCACTTTCAATAGCATGTTATACATGTAACAACTACAAACGGGAATCCAGCCTGCCAACAGGTACCATGGATGATTCCAGATGAGCTTGGCGTGGAGGAAGCGCCAGCGGCCAGAAACCTCGAAGGGTGCACCCCCCATTGCTGATTGCATCTCTGGTCTGGTTTTTCTCGATCGAGATTATGAATCCACGCATACGTGTATGCATTCAGGTTTGTCTGAACGAGTGGTGCTGTTGCTGCACTTTTGCGGGGAGAGCTTATACAATCAAGCTGCTCTGGTAGCGTACATGTACATATAGACCATGGTGACCCACGCCCACATGTGTCGTATTCTTCGCGACCTACTTATTGTTCGGGCTCCGGCGGTTCTTGGATGCATTCATCTGTTCAATGTGCCATTAAACTCATCCCCGAAATACCAAAACCAGATAACCAACCCTAGCAAATGTGATCCCAGGTTCTGGTCCTTTGTGTATTCTTGATCCTCAAGACCGAGGGGCTACGCCTCGATGAGGCGGGCTATATTGCAGATGTAGGACGGCCAGTAGCCAGCACGAAGCTTTGCAGAAGTCCTTGGGGAAAATCATTGTTCGGGCTGAGGTTCTTGATGGCGCCGAAATATGTGCAGGGACAGGAATGCTGTGCAGAGTGGTGCAACTGTACCATGGTCTGGTGTTTCCGGGCTTCGATATTAAATATTGGAAAGGCCAGGCGAACTATCGACCAACGACAAGCAACCCCTTGGACATGCTCGGCACAGCGGGGTTCGTGTGCCCAAGACTGCAGGCTATCTTTTGTGTGGGTGAAGTGATATGCTATGTAAACATGCTGATGACAAAAGCTCAGGTTGCTATTGATGCAAGCAATGCGAGCACGGCCAAATTCCGTGTTCCACTTCGGCTTGGTGTGTTCAAGCTGGGTATCTCTATGCATGGACTCGTCTGGTCGACGATATCTGTCTCCACATGGAGACACGTCTCTGAAGTGGGTGCATGATGGCAATGTCATGGTGTCGAGGTTCTGCTGTAATGCATGCTTTTGTATGCACTTCAGTTTCTTACCATGGGAAGCATAACCTTCACCTCTTCAGGTTTTGCCTCCTCGCTTACCTCCTGATGTCGCGAAATTGCCACTGGACCCTGGAGCAGCCTGGGTCCTCACTGATGTTCAGACATAAGAGGTTTCAACAACTCTGCAAGGCCATCATAGTACCATGGTCGCATGTGCAATTTGTGTTTATCGAAGTGAGCCATGGGTGCCACATACATGTCGGTAAAACTTTCTGTGCCACGGACATACCTAGGTCTACAAACAAGCCTTTTGGCTTGGACGCTTGGGGGCCAAGACACCAAAGAGATCGGTGTTGTGGTCTTCAAGCAAGGCCATCCTGAGCTTCAGAAAGTACAGTAGATTGTCGAAACAAGAAAGGGAAAAGTGTCGGGGCGACCTGGTACAGCGATACCGGGATACTAAAGGAAGATCTAGATTTACAGGGAAGACAAAAGGGCTCCGCAAATCCCAGTAACGTGTCTGCACTCCAGCAAATGCTATACTGCCTCCTACAATTCTTGGTGGTCTATGGTCTCTAGATTACAGAGTTGCTTTCCTAGCCCCAGAGTTGCTTTCCTAGCCCAGGCAATATCCTTTCGGCTTCGCGCTTCGCTATGCCAAGCTTATCCCAAGCTTCAAGAAATCGCCGATCCAGTGGCGACAGGATGCCCAGCAGGCCCGCGTGACAGTTCATTCGCCCATTCCTTTGTTGCACACATGAATTAACAGTCAGCTTGCATATTGCACGGGAGGTGGACAACTTCCGATTGGATCATTGCAAAGCGTATCTGTGTCAGCACATCCCGGCTGATCTGTGGAAGGATGCGCAAATCAACGAAGTCATTGAGTACTTATACTCAAACAAGGAGCTGCAGCTGACACCAGAACAGAAGGAGATGGTTCGCGGGCTGTCGCGTGACTTCGCCGGCTAGAGCCTTTGTGCGGGTTCCGTGGGAACAAGCTGGCAACCGGGGCAGGGGAGGGCTTCGGGAGTGCATCTATAGTTTATATGTCTACATGTGTGTCTATAATGTTTACACACGGAATATACATGTAAGCACATTTGTGTTATGTAGCACTTATATATATACACACACATACATATACATACATACATATATATATATAGATATATATAGATATATAGATATAGATATAGATATGGTAGATATAGATTTAAAGCCTGTATCCCATATATATATATATACATATTATATACATGTATACATGTATACATATATATATATATGTGTGTGTGTGTGTGTATGTGTGTGTGCTTGTCTATATATAGTGTATACATATATATGCATTGATAGATATATGTGCACATATATATGATGGTATACACACACACATATATATATATATGTATATGAACCGGTGCCCTATAAAATAATATATATATATATATGTACATGTATATATATATATATATCTATATCTATTATACATATACACACATGTGTATATATATATAGTATACATACATGTGCCTGCATGTATAAATACATACATACATACATACATGTGTATATATATATATACGCATAAATACATATATGTAAATATATATATATGTGTGTGTGTTTATATATATTAGATATATATATATACACATATATGTCGATCTATATGCATACATAACACAGACACCTTGTGTACGTTTACGAAAGCACACTGTGCTTCTGCAATCAGTGGGACTTGAGGAGGTCTTTGGGAAGTTGCTTCGGGCACGTTATTGATCTTTGCGGTGATTTCACTGCTGCTTTTCAAGACGGGTAGCCTTCGGATCCAGCTGCGGGTTTACCTTTGTGGCGAAAGTTGCTGCTTTTGGCTTTCGGAGTGCCGGGGTTGCGGGATTTAGTGCTGTTTCGAGGGGCTGCGGGATTTATTGGGGAGGGGTTTGGGAACTTGTGGGACTTCTTCGGTAACTGCAGGACTTTGCTGGGATGATCGTTGGTCAAGGCTTCTTAAACAGCTTTGGTAGGTTCCGGTAGCTTTTTAGCAAAGATTTACGTACTTAGTGAAAAATACGCACAAAACGCAGTGCCGAAAAAAAGCGTAAAGTGCCATAAAAAAGCGTGAAAGTGCCGAAAAAAGCGTAATCCCGCAACAGCAAACTTTTGAGCGATTTCACCTCCGGTTTGCAGGCTTTTGGATCCAGGGTCACCAGTTTTAGCAATGGTGGCCGGCAAGCCCTTACGACTTGATTCCAAGTCCCGAAGCTGTGCCACGCTTTATGCGGGGCAATCGTTCATGGAGTCGCAATATGTGAAGCAAGAACCGGAAGACATCGATGCAGACATACGAGTATCATAGCTGCAATAGGAATAAGCCTCGCCTTTTCATACTCATCCAACTTATATACTATTGCAACCCAGCCCCAGCCCCAGGCAGCAGCGGACAAGCTGGCGCAGCTGAAGCTGAAGGCCCGCAAGATCGAGGACCTGCATCATGATGAAGGAGAAGGGGGTGTTATGGCAGCCCCAGTTGCTCCAGCTAGAACTGTTGCGACCCCGGCCCGATCGACAGAAGCCAATGTGCCGATGCTAGTACGACCAGTGTCTACGGATGCACAGCCAGGCTCTCAACCGCTTTGGGAGGAAGGTTTTCTTCAGGGTTCTGATGCTGGTGGTCTTCGAGAAGGATCCACTGCAACGCCTGTGGGTCCTGAGGCCCCTGCTGCACCAGCTAAAGGACCCCCTTGCCCCGGACCCAACGAAGCCCAAGAGTCCATGGAACCCGAACATGCACCAGCACTCGCTGAAGCACACGATGATTCAGATGACGAGTTGATCATGGAATGCGATTGTGCAACTTGCTTGCATTGGTTCGAGATTGTACATGTCTGTAGTGTACTTATAAATCCCTGCAACCCAAAACCCTTCCGAGGATTTCAATGAACTTCGTGAGCTTCTACATGCCAGCCTTGTAAAGGAGGAGGAGCAGCCGATGACACCCACGGCAGCCTGGTCTGATTACGAGATGAGACTGCATGTGAGCTTGAGATTTATATAGTGTCCTGTTCAATATACGGGTGTCTTTATTAGTCAGGTGCCAGATGATGCTATGTCTGGTATCGATGATCCATATTTTGCGGAGGCTGGAGCTTGGCGTGCCCCTCCCGTCGCTGCGGAGCTCTGTCAGGACACTTTGCCTGATACCCTGCAGACCTCCCCTTTGCCAGCCCGCAAGTTGTTCCACAGCCCCGAAGCCCCAGCAGGCCCAGCAGCAGCCAAGCCAAAAGCTTCAAGCCAGGAAGCCGCCAAGGAAGCCCCGACACCGAAAAGGACAACACAGCCTCTAAGCCCAGCCAGCTCCCCAGTTAAGTCTTCAAGACGAAAGAATCGACGAAGCCTCAGCCTCTCGCCTAGCCCAAGATGCAGACGGAGCAGCCCGCACGATCGCCTCCCCGAAGAGTCTGCAAAGGCTCCTGAGGAGGGGAGCCGAAAGTCAAGACGTATTGCTACCCCGAGGAAGCATGGATCCACTGCCCGCGAAAGCGAGTCTTCGAGGAAGCGTCGGGATCGCAATGAATCCCCAAACAAGTCTATTCCGAAGAGGCCTCGAGAGCACCGTGAATCCCCAAGCGAGCCTTCTAGCAAGCGTCGAGAGCGCAATGAATCCCCGAACAAGTCTACTCCGAAGAGGCGTCAAGAGCACCGTGAATCCCCAAGTGAGCCGCACAAGTCCCATGAAACCACCCCCAAGAGCAAGCCACGCAGCCAGTCAAGTCGAGCCCCAACCGTGGATACAGCGAGTCCCTCGACAGCTACGAAATCCAGCAAACGCAAGGCCCGGCTTCCGTTTATGGGTACATTCAAGCCCTTCGTTACATAGTCTACTAGAAATGCTTGAGTGATAACCTACAACCAACCTACATACCTACCTACCTATTATACCTACTTACCTACCTACCTACCTACCTACCTACCTACCTACCTATACTTACCTACCTACCTATATACCTACATATGTATATTTTTTAAATATATAACCACCTATACATATATTCATACATATATATATATATATATTATATATACTATATATATATATAGTTAGTATAATATATATATATATGCTGGATATCTCTCTCTCTCTCTCTCTCTCCTCTCTCCCCCTCTCTCTCTCGGCCTCTCTGTATGTCTGCAATCTCAACCCACGTTACAAACCCGTACAGGCCATGAAGAAGGATACCATCCGCATCAGTGCCCGTGAGTACCGGAATTACGAAGCCACGTTGCGGCGCATGCGCAACAAGTCGGCCAAGAGGGGAACCTTGCAGGTGAGTCCAGAAGTTGCTGACAAGTGGAAGTGTTCGAAGAGTAGGAAGCAGCTGATTGTGGCACTCATTAACTGCAAGGGTGACAAGGCCACTGGACTGCACAACATGTCGCCACTGATGTATGTTGATTGTCTGCCCTCTTAGCTATGTTTCCTTCCCTGAACATGGAATTTCTCAGGATGCTTTCAATCAGCGGATGGAGATTGTTATCCGAAACATCAAAGAGGGCAAGGTCGTCATCGACAGCGGCTACTACACGGAAGCCACCATGCGATCGGAGCTGAAATTCGACAAGCAGCTTGGCTCAAACTTGGACTTGTTCGCTGCATGTACAACAGTGAAGTAGCTGCCATAGTGATCATTTATGCTACCCAGGGACCGAATAAAGGCCGTGATCAAGTACTGCACCGCCACCAAAGCCCGGAAGAGGGCCTTGACAAGGCCATTTCCATGGGTTCCTTTATATGACTGATGCAGTATAGCTTTGCATGTTCCATGTGTAGGAAAGACAAGTACCAAAGCCACATCATGGAGTATTGGGTGGACGTGCGCACCAGTGGGAGCTTATCACAGAGCACGAAGGAGGAGTTCAACCAATACGTCGAGATCATCGACAGCGGTGCATCCTTGCCACCGCCAACGTTGGGCGACGAGCCGCTCCCGTGCTACGAGCAGGATGACGACGACGAGGACGACGACGAAGACGACGACGACGACGACGATGAAGGTGAGGCTGCTACCAAGACCCCAAGCACCAAGCGCAAGAGGCACAAGAGGAGAGGGAAGAAAACCCCCAGCCCGAAGAGCAAGATGTTGGCCAAGAAGAAGAAGGAAAAGCAGGAGAAGGAAGAAGTAGTGGAAAGTGCTTTGGAGGCCAATCATCAAACTGACCCCTCTCAAAACTTAATTCCCGTATCTAATATATATATATATATATTATTTAAAAATATATCTATATATATATATATGTATCTATATATAGATACATATAATAAAGCTGTCTGTATATCCCTGTTAACCAATAAACCCTGCTGCTTCAGGAGATCAAGAACATCCCAACCGTGCTCACGGAGGTTCTGAGACTGCGCATCAAAGTGGACAACACCCTCGAAGAGCTCAAGAAGTCCAAATCCGCGTGACTTACCCCATTTATGAGGCCTATATAATGTGTTTGTGTTTTCTTGTATATTTCAATTAAGGAACAATGGCGATAAACTCCGGGAGCAGGGTGACGAGCTGATGATGTTGCATGACGAGCTAGCGGAGATCAAAGCCGAGAACAGCAACAAGGGAACCCCGAGTGATGAGTTGCCTGTCTGATATTACACATGCCATCGGTCTTACAAGTATCCGCATACAGTTGTGACCACCCCAAACCCAGGACGATGAAAAAGCTGCAGGAGAAGCTTGCCAGCGTTGAAAAGTTGTGCCTTGGCTAAATACACGAACCGCTCAAACCCATCCACCCCGACTGCTGGTCAGGTCGAGCCGCATCACGATGGAGCAGAAGAAGCTCAAGCGGCCTCGGAGATGCAATAACGTGCTTATCCCAATTTGTGTATATCCAAAACCTAAACCCACACGAAAAACCCTAATATAACCCGAATGTTCCCTATATACCAAGGATGGTTCTCGATCGGTCGAAGCCGAAGACAAAGAAAGGCGCCGAGAAGGAGCCCGACGATGAGACTGATGATGCAGCTGCTAATGCTAGCAAGCCCAAGCCGAAAGCTAAAGGCAAGGCGAAGGCGAAGTGCAAAGGTGCTGCTAAGAAGTAGATTGCCCTGAATCACAAGCCAATGGCCCTGCATCTTAGTCCTACGTACGGGGTACACGCTGGGCTTCTAGGCATAGGGTTCCCAAAAGGGCGTGGGTTGAAAGATCCGCAACGGGGCAAGCTCTTCTTTGCCATCTTCGCAGTTTCACTGTGATGTGGTCGTGATGCTTGCGATTTCAATTTGTGCAACGCGCAACTCGGGGGATTCTGAAGCAAAGGACGTTGCAAAAGACCGATCATAATGCAACGAATTCTATCTCGATCCCAGCCAAAGAAACTCTTATTGAGCCCCGCATGATGCCGCGCAGGTGCCGCAAGCAGCAGCAGCAGCAGCAACCGCGGAGCGTCATCTGGAGCAGCCTCTGCCGCCTTGGCACGGGCTCGTGGATCCGGGGTGCATGTTACGAAAATTTCTGGTAATTTATTGGTTTGTATGTATCTTCTGCTTTCGGCAATCCTCAACCAATATATCGATCCTTATGTAAACCGCGATGAGCCATATAGTGTGAACCCTTTCGATGCTATAAGTGTTGAAATGTAAACCTATACAAACCCGTCACCCTCACGAAAGTCCCCTCTGATACCCTCGGAAGCCTAAGCCTATACCCTGAAGGTTTCTGACAGACTGCTGTGTAGCATTGCTGCTGGCTTCGTTGATGAAGTTCGTCTTGCTGACCCGGACTTAGCAGAAGATCTACAATCTGCCTCGCTTTTACAAGACCTGCACCGGCAATCAAAGACGAAGCACGAAAATAAATCTGCAAAGAGCTTCGAAAAGCATGGCTTATCCTGTCCCATACAATCCCAGATGGTGGAAGTTGGTGGTGGCCAAACACATCCTGTTCTGAAGATTGCTGATTTTTTGCAAGCTTTGGCTTCATGCAACAAGTTGTGTTTGCTTTGGGGTTCTACGTCTACGACGACAACTCATCAAAACACTGAGTTGCTACCGAAATTCTGGCGACGCTGGAGGCAGCACGACCCGCAGCATGCAGTATTCGAGCACCATCGGGATCACTTGGCTTATGTGCTGCCACTGCAACTTCATGCGGATGAAGGGCAAACCCTTAAGAAGACTGGTGTGATGGTAGTGAATTGGCAGTCGCCGATTGGTTTTGGGCTTTCTACAACGGATGATTGCCCTGAAGCTATGTCCCTAAACTACCTTGGAAACTCCTATGCCACTCGTTTCCTCTACACAGTCTGCCATAAGAGGTGCTACAGCAAAGGAAAATCCGAGTTCTTCACGGGCATTATGGAAAGATTAGCTGACGAGCTTGTGGATTTATTCTGGAATGGTGTAACACTGAATCTTATGGGCAAAAAAGTTACCTTCTATGCAGCTTTGTTGGGGCTGAAGGGCGATTGGCCGATACAAGCTCGCATCGGCAACTTGTCACGACACTTCGCCCGGAAAGGCGTGTTTCAGGTTTCTGCTAAGAGCGGATTTTGCCATCTGTGCCGAGCTGGGGAGCAGGGCTACGACGCAAACGATTATGGATCATCTGCTTCGTGGCGAGCCACATACTTGAAATGCATTCCCTGGGATTCAGAAGGGCCGTTGTGTCGGGTGCCGCAGTCGCCGGCGAAGGAGTTTATTCACAAGTTTGATGTCTTTCATACGGTTCACAAGGGCGTTTTCGCCGAGCTCGCCGGCAGTGCGCTAGCGACGCAGCTTCAGTGTTAACATATGTGTTGGTCTTATAAGGTAGCTTCAGTGTTAACATATGTGTTGCTCTTGGTTTATTTGTTTTATATAGTTCGTACTTATGATATAATTTGTTATCTCCCCAGCTTGAAGTAAAATT